CAATCGGTGAATGATTGTGTCTTTTCTATTAACATTATAATTTCAAAGCCCTATGTTTCAATTTTATCTTTTGACGGGATTTTAATATTCAGTGGTTCAACATAAATGAGACTTGTCATCTTGTATATAATATATCCATAAGGTTATTTATAAAAATGAAATTTAAAGAATATTTTTTTTTCTGAAGCGAAAAAAAAAAAGAATGTGTAAATTAAAATTTAATTCGCATGATTTAAATACGATACCGGCAAATACTAATTTTTTTTGATTAATTAAATAAATGAGAAAATTAACTTTTGGTTTTTTTATTTCAATTAATTTTTATAAATCAAAAGAAACTACATTTCCTTTTTAATTTGTAAATGATAAATGGTAAAATAAATTTTTTATCAGTTTCGAATTAATTCATCCCTAAAAATAGGACATCATAAGGCTGAATTTTAGATATAAAAATGATGGGCTGGATTTTTTCTAATTTTTTTTTTCTCATCCCTAACGCCAAGTATAATCAAACTGATGAGAAAAGATTTATATTTTTTTAATACATTGGAAATGACAAAAGAATTCTTGTTTACTGAAATAATTTAAAAAAAAAATTTTCTTTCATAACATATCATGCGTACAAGACCTAATGGCTTAAATCTATCTTTAAAAAGTTCGAAATAAGATAGCATAGAACGTGCTATAAATTTTTGAAGAAAAAAAAATAAAATAAAATAAAAAAAAAAAGCTAAAAATTTGATAAATAATTCGGTAAGCTTCAAGCCCAATGCATCTGAAGCAGAAGGATACCGACACGAATATGCCACGTGATCCTCAACGCTTGACAGAAAGCGATAATTTTACCACAGTTGGGAGCGAAAGAAGAAGAGCTTTAACAAACAATTAATTTTGCTGGATTAACGAATAAATGAAGATACTATTTGCGGGAAGAATTAGAAAGAAAATTTTACTTTTGCATAATTTCATGCACATTATTTTATTATGGTGGTTGAGGGATCCTATAGTTGAATTTTTGTATCAGAGATTGGATTGAAACCTAAGACGAATTCGCTTTGGTTTAAATTCTTTGGTAAATTTTGGGTATGATTGACTGTGGAACAAACTTTATCACAGATAGGACATTTGGAACGGAACATAGTGTGGGACATATAACTGTCTCTGGGATAGCCTTATCGTGCTGTAAGACATAGTTCTGGGAAATTGGGACTTAATTGTAGGACTGTTTGGACAGTTTAAAAATGCTTGAAGCATAAGATGAACTGTAATGTAATCGTTAATTTTCAGAATAAAAGATCATTTTTAGATCACTTTGTGGAATAATAACCACATGAAACTAAATTAACTTCCTTAAAGGAGAAGTATTTAAAATTTTAATTGGACAATCTATCTCCAATACTTCTTTTATATAAATCAGAAATGAAAAATTCTAAAATAATTTGGATCTATCTTGAAATCATCGAAACAGAGAACTACATAATGTTTAAAAATACACGTTAGAACGAAATATGTTTTATCTTCTTAAGAGAATTTAAACCGTTAAAATCGTAAAAAATAAAAAAAAATGTTCTTTTATAGGAAGAAATATAGATGTGTTTATTTACTTACCTAGTGACATTCCCATAATAACGCTGAAATGAAAATTTTATTTTATTTTTTGTTTTCCTATATAGAAATTAATAAAGGTAATTCCTATAAGTGATCTTCCTTTTTTTTTTTTATAACCACACACCATCAAATTCAACATTTGAAAGTATTATTTATAAAATGACGCAATTAGTCATAAACATCTTTTTAAATTTCCACTTTAAGCATAATTCTTTTTTTTTTTTTTTTTTTTTCTTATTTGATATCCAAAACATAAATATCAAATTGTTATCTATTACAGTATTTCAATCACATAATTAAATAGGGAAAGAATTATCTCCCGAAAAGTATTAACTGATATATATATAGAATTAAATATTAAGTGTATCTAAATCAATAAACAATGGATTAATACATTACATACGCCAATTGCAAAAAAAGAAAAAAAATTTAGAAGATAAATTTTTTAAATATATAACCTAGCAAAAACATTTTAGATTTTGAAATTCTGATGGTCTGATCATAAATGGAGTAGAATATGCACAGTAAGAAGTTCCGCGGTAATTTGCGTTTCTCCAAGACAGTCTTTGGTTTGTTATTTAGTTTGTATATGAATTTGTCATAAGTTCAAAAACATACTACATACAGTTTCTATGGCTATCGAAATTTTATTTTGAATCACAAATACAGGATGTCACTTGTTGATGATCGTACACATCGTTCTTATCTAAGCATATTCAAACTTGTTGAAACGCATCATAGGAAATACTGTAGGTAAATCAATCACTTCGAAATACTTCCCTAGTAATCAAAGGCCAACAATGCAGATCAAAGTTTATGAGATTCAGGTTATCAATGAAGTTTCTTTGGCGATTGGAAATTCTCTCAAGCTTTTAACATCGAAATCTGGTAATATTACCGTATTTTTTTTTAAAAAAATTCTTCCGGAAAGTTGATATCTAACAATTTGAAATTGTTAAATTTCAGGTTCACTGAGAGGATTATTGATACAATGCGCTTCAACATCAGATATAAATAACATTATTATCAGCTAAAGCTGGTTTGAAGCTCACTTACAGTGCCTTCATATCTTCTCTTGTAAACTAGTACGACATGCCATTTTCTTTAAATCGAGCAAGTCTCAAACTTATTTTAACGACATCGAGAGATTGGTTTCAAATGATGTGGCTCTAGATCTGCTGATTGAAGAGTACGTGATGCGAGTCGAGAAAAAATTTTTTATTTTATCCTCCGTCTGTCTATATTACTAAAATAAGAATTTTCATTTGGGAGATTTTGTATGCATTTTTTTTTATAGATAAATTTTTTTCAATTTATATTTTATGGATTTTATGTGATGTACTAATAATAATTATGTAGGAGGAATCGACTTCGTTGTTTTAATGCATGAATGAATGATAATTCTATTTATGTTGATTTCACTTGGATTCATTTTTTCAATTTTTTTTTTTTACACGTTAGAATGCCATAAAACTGGTGGCACGTTGTTTAACTTTATTTGGAACCGGTTAAATATAGATTAGACGTTTCTATCATTTAGTAGTTTGTTGCTTTGGCTTCTTAATGGACCGGGTTTAATATATAGATTAAAAAAGATTAACTATTTTTACGACATTATAGAATTGAGCTTTAAAGTTTGGTGGATTTCCTTCAAGGAGGTGTTAAATTATTTTGATATAAAAAAATGTGATGGTGTTTCTATTTTTGATAAATAAGCAATGTGGCGTTTTTAATTTTAATATATAATTAGATAGATATTCAACGCTAGGTAGACTACAAGTTCTTGTAGGAATACATCAAATATCATTGAGTTCGTCGAGAAAATTTTAAATTATTAGATACAATATCTTCTCCTCCCTTTCTAAATTCTTCTAATTTACTAGCTTTTTCACGATTTCGTTTAACTCCGTATAAATCTGTCTGATAACATATCATGTAAAACTATGTGGGAGTATTACTTAATCCAAATATATAAACCCGATTTATTCATGACGATAACCAATACATCATCGATGAATCGTCCTTATGAAAATATATATATATATATATACTGTAAAAAAAATGTTTTAAGATGTAGTTTCTATTTTACAATTTAAGTCATTTATGTCAGTTTTTGAGTAGATTCAAGAATACCTTGAACGTCTTTAGGAGTGAAAATTTGTTTCGCTAAATCTACAACATTGATTAGGTATGAATTTAAAGTCATGTTCATTTTAGATCGACCGGACCGAAAATTGAAATGCGATCAAAACGATCCATCAGTTTTGTAATTCACTTTGATCGATTTTATAATTAGAAGACGAACAATCTTTACTTCGGATTCTATTTGTCTTCTACATTAGATGTTCTTTGCTTGCCATTCATGGTTACTTGTTTGTGCGATCAGTCCAGTCTGATAAAAAATGAACATAAGTTTTGTTTTAAAATTTTTTACTTAAAAGTAAGTAAAAAGTAATCAGAGATAAGAAGGAAATATAAAAGTTTGTTACTACTTTATAATGAATAGGATATTTGAAGACTAAAGGATTACGAATTGAATGAATATATTATAGAACCAGTACGGTACGGTACAAATTTTAGAAAATTCGTTCTGATTCGTATTGCATCATTAATAGAATTTTTAAATTTATATTTCTGACAAAAGTAATTTTTAATTCAACGGTATGTTTGTCAAAATAAATTTAATAAAATTAAATTAAAAAGAAAATAATTACCACATAAAAATTAAAAATAATTTAATAATATGATGCATTTTTCCTTCAATAAAAAATGATTATTAATATGGAATATAATCAATAATCAATTTTTTAAATCGGTTATAATAATTCACCGTATTATCAACATCTATTATGAAAGATAATATTATACCGTACTGTACTGGTCCTAAAATAAAAGCTCATTATATACAACTGGTACAGTACAGCACGGTTCAAATTTTGCGGAAAAATACTGATCCGCAACATCGTACCGTACCGGTCAAGCGAATGTACTGTACTGATTTTCTGTCTACCCGAATTGAATAGTTGATAAGTGCTGATTTTTAAAAATCTATTTAAGTAAATTCATAAAAAAATATTGTATTACATATTATCAATAATATAATACTAGTGATATTTATTATTAATAATACAAAATAATTTCTAACTAATAAATAAATTAATATTGTTATAATTTATTTATTTTAAATTTTTTGATTTATTTTTATTTTATAATTAATTTAATTTACAATTAATCTTAATTAAAAATCAATTCAAAAAGCATTAATAATTTATATTTTAATTAATTTAATCATTATAATTTAATTTATAAATAAAATAATTACAAACTGTATTTTTTATAATGTTTATTTTATATACAGTGTTACTAAATAAATGTTCCATAAAAATTATAATAATATAATATAGCTATAAAGAAAAAAAAATTTAATTTATT